TGAATGTACTGACCGAAAGGTTGGCGGTTCGAATCTGGAGAGCGAGGTGAGCTTCCGCTGTTAGGCCCAGCTTCTCCCAACTTAGCCGTTTGAAAACATGCAAATGTGAGTAGATCAATAGGTACCACCTCAACCGGAAGGTAACGGTGCTCCATGCAGTCATGCTGGCCACATGACCTTGGAGGCATCTATGGACAACGCAAGGTTTTTGACTTAGATAAGCACCACCCTCCAGAGTCAGACACAAAGTCAAGGGGAAACATTTACTTTATGTTAATTATGATCCCCCCTCCCCACTACCCTTTCTCTTCTCCCATCAATGCCACTTGACTCTGTTTCCTATTCCTTTAACAACTGTAACATGTAACTGTTAGGCTGTTCCCCCTTCTCACCCTCCAAACACAAGACGTGAGAGAGTAATTGTAAAAATAAAGGATTGTCCCATATTTTAAGGATCCTATTGGACTAGATAGCCTGACTGTTGGTCTAGATGAAATTAATATAGTGGGGATAGAAACAGGGTTTTGTAGACCTGGGTTTTGCCACTCTAATTTCCTTCACTGCTCCAGAACATCCTGGTATGTTTAAATGGCATTCACCCATATCAAGAAAAAGGGAAAAAATGTATCCTAGAAAAATATTACTTTTTCTGGACTATGGTTTGCAGAATTATTTCTCTTTTTCTGAACTATGTCTCCTGGAATTCTTTGGCTATAAGGATCAGAAGTTGATAGCTGAACTAGTTTAAGGATTCTGGGAGATGTAGCATTGCCAAACTCTATAAAAAGCTATGAAGAAAGTGGGGGTTTGGGATGGGTACTTGGCAAAAACAACTTCCAAAAACAACTGCAATTAATATCTCAAAGTCTTGACTACGGTGGAAAGCACAGAGGCAAGGCTGAAAAACCCATCCTAGTATATTTCCAGGGTGTTCTGAATCTCCGCACACACATGTATTCCAGCTTTTTGTTTGGAAGCACTGTACTGTCTGCTGCGAGACAGAGCAAAAGCGTGGAACTATTTTAGCAAGCTGAAATTCAGCTCAGCTATGTCAGCTCAAGGAGGAAGGCACTGAATCAAATCTCAAAGTTCAGTCTGCATAGCAATCATTCCTTAGTTGCTAATGCTGTTACATCTTCCGCCTCAGTTCTCTGCTGCAGCATGAAGAACCCGGCTGCTGCTCACAGGCTAGGATACGGAACACTTTCCCAGCCAGTTCCTTCAGATACAAGCAGAATTTGGCTGAGAAAGAAAGGGGTTTATCCCCTAATCAACATCAGTGCTGCTCACTTGGCAGATCATGCTGTACAACATGTGCTGCCAGAGATCTGGGGCATACATTTCACAGCATCTTCAGTATACCCTTGCCTCCCCTGATGGGACGACTGGGATTCTGAGTCATATCCTGGAGGAAGGCAGAGTAATGAGCCTGAAGAATTGCCCTGAAGACCTCTCAAAACCCAATCTAAATTGTTTACTTAATCATAATTAGATAGCCTGGTACCACTGTAGACAGCAGGAGGCTGAAGACAGACCCTTGATCTGCAGTGAACTCTGGCAGCAATATTTGTCAAAACTCCAGTGCTTGAAGGAGGGATGTAATCATGAATCTCACACAAAGATGCCTCTTTTATCAGAGAAAGCTCCACATGCTCCTTTGTAAGCTGAAGCTAAAAATAAAACATTGGCCACATAGTTTGTCATTTATGTTCTTTTCCACTACTGGTTTGATGTTTGATATTTAGGTCAGTGTGGTCTGAGTGTGAGTTGAAGGTCTGAGAAACCAGCATTTGAATCCCTATTCAGCAAAATTCAGGAAAACCCTTAAATGAGCTTGGGTAAGTCACAGCTTCTCAATGTCACAGGAAGACAATGGATAAATCTTGGCAAGAAAACGCCATGATAGGTACAGGGTCCCTGTAAATCAAAAACAGGACCAGGTTGTGGGGCAGCTGGTTGGGAATCAGTTGCATTAAAATCACTATTGACTGAAAGGTCATGAGTTCGAAGCCAGCCAGGGTCAGAGTAAGCTCCTGGCCATTTGTCTAGCTTTTTCTCAGCCTTTGCAGCCCGGAAGACAGTTGCATCTGTCAAATAGGAATTTACATACCATTTATGCTGAGAGGCTAATTTAACAAATTTACAACTCCATAAAAATCTCCAGCAGCGTGCAAAAGAATGAAGTAGTACTCCATTGGTGTCACAAGTGGATGGTGGACGGTGAAGCAATAGCTCCCCCAGTGGCCAGAATTCAAGCATACCCCCATGAAGCTGGAAAATTAAATAGCCTCTGTGTGTCTGTATATGTTGTGTGTCTATGGCATTGAATGTTTGCCTTGTATATGTGCATTTTGATCCACCCTGAGTCCCCTGTGGGGTGAGAAGGGCGGAATATAAATACTCTAAATAAATAATAAATAAATATTGAAAGAACATAACAGCAATAAATCTAGGTGTATACTGGTTGTATGCATCATTACATTGCAAAGTACTACTGACTGCTTGCATTTCATGTAAAGGAACCTTAATTTGTATATATCTAAATGGACACATGAGAAATAGATCAACACCATACATAAATTCATGAGTGCAGATATACAGTTGGAGTGTGAACAAATGAGGCAGCATTGCACAGTTCATTTTTGAGACCTTTCACTGACTTCGCAGTCTTGAGCAAAGTAGCATTTTCACACCTCTCCAGACTTGATATTTGAACCTGCATACTTCATTTCAAGCACCGAGTCACACACAGTAAGGCTTGCAGAGTATTTCTGGTTAAAAGGTTCCTGATTGAAAACATACTTGGTTAAAATGTGCAGAATTGGGCAGGTAGGTAAGTCACAGAATGCACAAAAACACGCTCGGTCAATAAGGAAAGATGCATACATTAGTTAAATTGCTTATTTATGTGCACAAATTAAGGAAAATGAGTTAAGGTTATGTGAATTTCAGTTTAAGAAGAAAAAACCTTCTAGAGCAGTGGTGTGCAACGTCTCTGCTACCATTCTGTCCAAATGTCAACAACTGTCTAGTGGCACAGAAAAAGTTTGTATCTAGCAAGCCCAACCAGAGTTTCAGTTTAGCCTGAAAATTCGAGGTTGGGAAGAGGTTGGCTGGAGTGAGAGGATAATATTTTCCTGATCAAACTCTTCACAGTGCTAAAACCTAAAAAACCTTTTTATTCAGGCAGGTTTTTAGAGATGAAGGTTTTAAATATCAGTTCAGGCAGGCCCGTACCCAGGATTTTGATGGGGGGGGGGGGGCTGAGTGAGTCTGAGTGAAAGAGGGTCTACCCTAACAAACCTTTTGTATCATTACCCCAATACCCCCATGCATATGGGATATATTGAGCATGGTGATCAGATCATGATATGAATAAATATAACAGTTTAAATAATGTACCAGTAAGGCCTTCTTGCGGACCACCATCAGAATTTGGGGGGGGGGCAAAGCCCCCCCCCCCAAGCCCCCTCCCGGCTACATGCCTGAGTTCAGGGGATGCTATGGCTTTTTGTTTTAAGGTTTTTAACTGGGATTTTTAATATGTTTATATTTAATCCTGTTTTAATGTTTTCATATTTGTATATTTTAAATTTATGCTGATGCTTTTATGTTTAGCCACTTTGAGGATTTAGTAAAGGGTAAAGGTTGTCCCCTGACATTAAGTCCAGTCATGTCCAACTCTGGGGGTTGGTGCTCATCTCCATTTCTAAGCCGAAGAGCCAGCATTGTCTGTAAACACCTTCAAGGTCATGTGGCCGGCATGACTGCATGGAGTGCCGTTAGCTTTCCGCCGGAGTGGTACCTATTGATCTTCTCACATTTGCATGTTTTCGAACCTCTAGGTTGGCAGAAGCTCCCTGGATTTGAACCTGTGACCTTTCGGTCAACAAGTTCAGCAGGTTAGTAGTTTAACCCACTGCACCACCGGGTAGGGTATAAATAAATATAATGATAATAATGATAATAATGATAATCATCATCATCATCACTATCAGGTAAGATTTTACACCACTGAGCAGTTAAATCTGCTTTCAATAGAACATATATCTTGGGAGTCAGTATTCTTATTAACCTCATTCTGGGAGGAGGACACTCCAGTTTAGGGACCCTCTTCACCAGTCAAGGGATCTGGCATGTGGGCCATGGAATAGATTGATTACATCTATGGTGCAATGGGTTAAACCCTTGTGCTGGCAGGATTGCTGACTGACAGGTGTATGTGTGGCCTGCAGGCCCAAAGAGCCCATGACTGCTAGGGCGTGCAGCTGAGTGCCGAACACCAAGTGCTTAGTAAGAGGTGCTCTGCGCTCCGCCCGGCACTCAGCACTCTGCTGCAATCCCGGGAAGTCATGGATGCTTTGAGTCTGCAGGCCATGCATCCACACTCTTAAAAAGAGTCTGTTTTCAAGTTACTGTGTGCTGAAAAGTATGGGGTTTTCAAATGAGCTTGCTATCCATTTAAAGAGATAATGGAGCCTGAAAAAAGCCAAGGACTGCAAAAGCAGCATCAATGAGCCACAGACTGCATTTTGCCTATCCGGATTCAGAGACAGAGGTTTATCCCACCAACTCTAATAACTCAAATAAATGCTGGAGAGAGCTTGAGGATCACTGAAATGGTGACATCCTCTAGCCCTAAAACTGAGGGGAAGGAGAGCATGGGAAGGCTGCCCATTGCTGGCAATGGGACGAAAATCAGGCAAGCAAACGGTTACCGTTCCCACTTTCCCTTTGTTTCACTGTTTGTTTCATCTATAACAGAGGGGATGTACTGTTTCATGCCATCTGAATGGGAGGTACGAAATGGAAACACAAAATAAATGAGTGACACAAATACCAGGCCCATGATTACTATCCACAGTTTTAAAATATTGAAACAATCCTAAAAAGCAAAATCTTGATTCCACCATTTTGCGTAAACAGCACTGTTTTACAATGCTGAGAAAACAAATGTATCTCAAAGAAGTTTAAAAAATAAAGAGGAAGGCCAGTAGAAATCCGTAATGGTTCCATTTATTAATATGTATATCACAAATACTCACAATATCGATGCATTCTTGCTGGCATGCTAGACAGAGGCCTTATTAAAAAATTCCTATTTTTTTAAAAAGGTCTTAAACTTTTGCTTCCCTCCCCCCCCCAACCACCCCAGATATTCCACACTCTCTTTTCTATTTAAAGTTTGGTTGATTTGATAATGTATTTGGTGGCAACTTCAATGTAAAAGGAGAATAAAAGAGAGAGAAAAGAAGTAGAAAGTTGCACCACAGCACAGTTTGATTAATCCATAATGGACTAATAAAAAGGAAGTGGATCTACAGGCTTCACAGTAAGCAAACAACACAGCTTTAGTAACAATATTACACAGGTTCAGGTTCAGAGGCAAAATGCACTAGACAAAGGCCAACTGGTAAACACACAGGATATACAACATTGATTAAAAATCCAAGATGCAGCAGAACATCAAAAGAACAATTTCCCTCAAGCAAATTTTGGACATTTTTTTTCAAGTATTTCATCCTGTAACAAATTTCTTCTTATTTGGGCAGATTTTAGGTGGGGTGGGAGAGAAGTAGGCAGACTGGGGGAAAAAAACACCTTAGTAACGCAGTAAAGAAAATCAAGAAATTAAAAATTTAATAAACCAAAATAATATTTTATATTTATATATATATATATATTTGTATACAAGTTTAATATGGATGTGTGCGACATTTATTAACCATTGTGAAAGGCTAATTACGCCCCCAGTCACTACATGCACAGCCCAGTCATTGCTGTTAATGGATTACCTCTGTTAACTTTACAATGCAACTACAGTCTGACCAAGAACATACATATAGTGCCATCGTATGCAAAGCCTTCAGGATGGAGTGTACAGTACTGGATGCTGAATGGTTCAGGCTACTTCTGTGGCACGACAGTACTTCACGGAATGGTACACTACGCATGGTACAGAGTTTAGAAGGTGGCGACTTTCAGGTGAGTGTATGTGTAGTTGTGTATGTGTGCTCTAACATTCTTAAGAAGTCTTCCAAGAATTACCCAGTTCCTGATTGAAAACACGTGCGGCTGTAGTTCACACGCCTGGAAAAATACAGAACAGGGAAGGGAAAAGTATGAAAAAAAGTTACAGCGATAATTCTAGTGGCTGCATCCAATAGAAAGAAAGAGATCTCTCCACTGGATATAATAGACACAAAATTTCAGGCATATAAATAACCAGAAGACCAATACTCAATACTATTACAATTTACTGGAGAGTTTACATACATAGAACACTTGAGCAATGATAGCTGAGTGCATCTGAGTAAGCAGACATAGTTTACGAAACCTGATGCCAAAAACTTTGTTCTCTCAGTCTCATTGTGCAAAAAATATACATATCTTGTAGGCTTGGTTGATCAAGAAAAAATTGGTTCTAAAATCGATTTGTAATTGGGGTGTTTTTTTGTTTCGATATTTAAAATAATTACAAAATTTTCCCCAAAAAAAGTTTCGGTATTTACGAAATTTCGTAAATATTTACGAAACGTTTCGTTAAGATGGCGGACCCCCGCGCATGCGCAAAATCACTTCCGAAGCTTCATTATTGGCGCGGGGTCGATTCGTTAAGGTTATAACGAATCGATTCGTTAAAACGGCGGACGCGTTTGCGCATATGCAAAAGCGACTTCCGAAACTTCGTTATTAAATACTTCGTTATTAATAACTTCGTTATTAAATATTTTGTGTTGGCAAAAGGAGCGCACTGGTTGGAACTACACAAATGAGCGAGCACTGTATTATAGCACTTTGTGTTGGCAAAAGGAGCGCACTGGTTGGAACTACACAAATGAGCGAGCACTGTATTATAGCACTTTGTGTTGGCAAAAGGAGCGCACTGGTTGGAACTACAAAAATGAGCGAGCACTGTATTATAGCACTTTGTGTTGGCAAAAGGAGCGCACTGGTTGGAACTACACAAATGATGAGCGAGCAGTGTATGTAGCACTTTGTGTTGGCAAAAGGAGCGCACTGGTTGGAACTACACAAATGACAAATGCACACACAGCCACCGAAGACTCTTTTATTTTTTTAGAATATTTTTTGTATTTTTTTAAGAATAAAAGACAGGTATTTTTAGAAAATATTCAGAAATGGAAAATTAACCAAAAACTGGCCCTGATGTGGACCAAACACAGCCACGAGACAGGGCAAACGAGAGCACACACCAACAGAAGAGTCTTTTCTTTTTTTGGAATATTTTTGGGTTTTTTTAAGAATAAAAGACAGGTATTTTTAGAAAATATTCAGAAATGAAAAATTAACCAAAAACTGGCCCTGATGTGGACCAAACACAGCCACGAGACAGGGCAAATGAGAGCACACACCAACAGAAGAGTCTTTTCTTTTTTAGAATATTTTTTGTTTTTTAAGAATAAAAGACAGGTATTTTTAGAAAATATTCAGAAATGGAAAATTAACCAAAAACTGGCCCTGATGTGGACCAAACACAGCCACGAGACAGGGCAAATGAGAGCACACAGCAACAGAAGAGTCTTTTCTTTTTTTGGAATATTTTTTGTATTTTTTTAAGAATAAAAGACAGGTATTTTTAGAAAATATTAAAAAATGGAAACTTAACCAAAAACTGGCCCTGATGTGGACCAAACACAGCCACGAGACAGGGCAAATGAGAGCACACACCAACAGAAGAGTCTTCTTTTTTAGAATATTTTTTGTATTTTTTTAAGAATAAAAGACAGGTATTTTTAGAAAATATTAAAAAATATTTAAAAATGGAAAATTAACAAACAAATTCACAAAAACCGAAGGAAGGAAGGAATCCAAGCAAGGAATAATAAGCACTAAGCAGCAAGGAATGAATCCAAGCAAGGAATGAGCAAGGAATGAATCCAATCCAAGCAGTTGCAAGCCAACCCAATGCAAACCCTCCCGGACCTCTTCTCTTCTCCCTCGCCTCTGCAGCAATGAGCTGTACGGCCGCGCGGAGCCGCTTTTAAAGGGCTTGCCGGCCAATCAGAAACAGCCACGGTGCACTGCTTGGGTGCTTGGGAGCGCCGGATTGGCTCCCAGGGCACCAGCAGCCTCCATCCCATTTACGAAACGGGCGGAAGCTCGTTAAAACTATGGGGGTTGCCGGTTCGATATTTTTAAACCCTTCCGGGTTTGAAAATGTGTTTTGTTATCGTTTTGTAAATGCTAAAAATAACGAATATTTAACGAATTACAAAATTAACGAACGAAACCGCCCAGGCCTAATATCTTGGATTTTAAAACTTAAATCACACACACATACACACCTCCAGCACTTTCTTTTGCAGAGGAACCACACTAATAGCCATGTTTTGAGCTACATTTTGCATTTCGTCTGTGCGCAAACTCTATTTACTCAGTCAAAAAGAGGGAGACAAGGCTTTCGGTTCATTTGGGAAGAGCATCCTGGATATAGCCATAAACACACCTACCTTGTTACACCATCTCATACTGATTGGCGGTAATAAATCGTGACAAACAGCATGCCAACAGCATTCCGATTAACTGTGAGAAGGAAAGAGAGAATATTCAAAGGTATAATCCTGCAATAGTTAGAAATCCACACTGACTTCACAGAGAAGCCTTTAGAATTGTTTAAATTCATTGAAATACCCCAAAAACACAAATATTATATACTTAAGGAATGATGAGATTGCTCTTGGCTCATCCTCACCTTTTAGCTACTGCATCTCCCCTGCAAGGCTTCTTTCTCGCCAATGGAGAGCAGGGGGTGTGGCAGAAAAGTATCAAGTTGCATCCTTACAGATGGACACACTAATGGATGCTATCAGTGCTGTGTGTTTGTCTTTAGAAACCCAGTTGTAGGTGTCAGTACCAACCTATCCCTGCCCCCAGCTGAAAGGTAAGTTAGGTATGTGTGTCTGTGTGAAGGCAAAGCCATAGTATACTTTGACTTGGCAGAACTTCATGCTACATTTTATTGATATAGGATGTGTTCTCTCTTAAACATACAGGAGCCCTGACTTAAAACACTCTATCTTGGTGTGGCAACAAAACCCAGACTCAGTCAGTTTTCAGATATTTATAAGTAGGTACCCCTAGCTACCTATGCGATCATTTCTGCTTTTAACTGGAAACAGCTCTTTTTAAAGTATTTTTTAGCACACTGTGCAGGTTAAAGCATTGGCTCCAAACATATGGGTCCCCAGGGGTTTTGGTCTACAATTCCCAGAAATCCCAGCCAGTTTACCAGCTGTTGGGATTTCTGGGAGTTGAAGGCCAAAACATCTGGGGACCCACAGGTTGAGAACCACTGGGTTAAAGGTTTGGCTTTTGCCTGCATAGCCAACACTTGCCATTGCTAAACACTGGAAGTCAGCATTCTTAGCAAAGGAGGATGGTGACATTTGTTTATAGCATCCACAGTCACTCCAGATGAAATATTCTGATTTGTTCAGTCAATTCTTAGAATATCTGAAATTATGGGATCATGAAAATTGCTTGGCACAATTGTGTAACTTGGTTGTGGGATTTATAAGAGTTCAGGAAAATGTTGCTGTATGCATTGTATTTTACTTGGATGCATGTGAGTCTCAATTAGATTAATTTTCCAAAGTGTCTCAGTACTATGTTTCATCCTACACTCCATCTGTCCAATCTGGCACCTCAAAGTATGGGAGACTCTTGATTGCCACGACATATTGCCTTTTGCAGTTCCCAACGCGGGCTGCCTTCCTTTAGTCTAGCACATCACAAATCCCTCATGCTGCTCCTTTGGGTGATTCCTTAATTGATTTCATAAATGGCCTTGAAGCCCACTGGTTACCATCCTTCTAAACAGGCAAGAAATTTGGAGTCTACCTTGGGTTCCTGTAGCAGTCCTTATAAGTACTGTAAACCTCCATACAATGGGAGAAAGATACTTATCCTCTATCACCTTCCACACCAGTGGTTCTCAACCTGGGGTCTCCAGATGTTTTGGCCTTTAACTCCCAGAAATCCTAACAGCTTGTAAACTGGCTGGGATTTCTGGGAGTTGTAGGCCAAAAACATCTGGGGACCCCAGGTTTAGAACCACTGTTCCACACTCTGACATTCTGCCACAATCATTCCCTTCTCAGTGTAGAATGCAGAAAGTTACCTTGCTCTATTTCTGTCATATGAGCTGGGCATTTTGTGCATGACCTTGCCCCCAGCAAGGTAGTAGTTATATTGAGTGGGGATTCCTGTGGCTGAAAGTTGGGGTTTAGAAGACAGAAAAGTCCAGGCACTTTTCTATTGACTCACATGTGACTCACTTCAGCCATATGGACATTCAGACTTGAGGGATGGAACAGCTGGTATCTGTTGGCTCACAACAAACATATCTCCACAGCATTTGGAACATAATTGGAGAGTATTTTGCTGCTTACTAAGAGATCCAATTATCGTGAGTGCAACTGGCACCCACTCTTCTCTCCTCCTCAAATCAAAGAAATATGGGATTTCAAATTTCTGTGTTCCAAAGACAAAAATGTACCCATAACAGCAGAGCCTCAGGATCCTTTTTGGACAACTGCACCCCACTAATTTATACCAGCTTCCCCCTCCCATCATGGAATAACCTATTAGAAAAAAAGAATTAATCACCTAGGTGAAGTGGGTTTTTTAAAACAAGATTCGATGCTAGACAAATAATCAAGAAATAATGTGGCAGTCTTACTTTGTCGGCCGAAAATTTTAAAGAGTATTTCTTTCATCCTAACTATCTCGGTGTCACCTTATATCGAACACTAACAATTAGGAGACACTACATGAAGACCAAGCACAAAGTAGCTGCATGCAATAACATTCCGTGGAAACTTACTGGCAGAACATGGGAAGCAGACCCAAAATTAATAAGAATATCAGCTCTGGCCTTGTCTTACTCAACTGCTGAGTATGCCTGCCCTGTTTGGCACAAGTTTGTCCATACGAAGCAGGTGAACATAGCACTGAATGAAACATGCAGAATAATCACAGGATGTCTTAAACCTACACCTGTTGATAAACTCTACAAGCTAGCTGGCATTGCCCCCCCCCCCCAATGTGTGGCAGGAAGTTGCTGCTAACTGTGAGAGAAATAAGTTTGAACACTGTGAAAGCCATCCTCTGCGTGGCTATCAGCCTCCTCCCAGTAGACACAAATCAAGAAAAAGCTTCATGAGAACCACCATTCCTCTTAACATTTCCCCAGCAACAGCAAGAGTATCCCTCTGAGCAGCTAAACCAGGAACTCCCATATGGATGGCCCACCACAAGGGTCTGCCTCCAGGAGCAAACCAAGAATGGGCAATGTGGAAGTCCCTGAACAGACGTAGAAGCTGAATGAGCAGATCAAAAGACAACCTGCCAAAATGGCACTACCTAAAGGAATCCTCCACCTTGTGAGACTGTGGAGCAGAACAAACAACTCTGCATATGTATGCTTGTCCACAATGCTCTGCCTCATGAGCAGAGGAAGAACTAGGTTCTTGTGGGTTTTTTCGGGCTATAGAGCCATGTTCTAGAGGCATTTCTCCTGACGTTTCGCCTGCATCTATGGCAAGCATCCTCAGAGGTAGTGAGGAAGAACTGTTTAAAGCTACAGACAATGCAGTCGCTGTTGCTTGTTTTGGTCAAAAATTACTTAACCGATTGTGTTCAGTTTTATACTTATTGACGCAATGCTTTTTGACATGAAATAAATAAACAAACAAACAAACAATTGGCAATGGAGCTGTGTCTATGTGTAGGCAGCGGTTTTATTTTATTTCTATAGAGCAGATTAATGTTGAAACATCCTTCTTAAACCATCCTCCGTGACTGATTTCAAGCTGAGACCCTGGTTCCAATTTTATGCAGGTCTTACTGTTGTTAACAATATGATATAAGATACTCGATGTCACGTAATTTGTTTGTTGTTGACCTCACATAGTCAATGTACAAATTGGCAATAAAAATGCAAACCAATAAAAGGATGCATGCAAAATACAAGACCACCACTCAGTAAAAATACATGGGTATTGTACATTGTAAAATTGATTTCCAATTCATTTACAAATAAGTGCTGATACTCTGCCTACTTCAAATAAAAACAGGTCAACATTGCTGTAAATTGTACTATAATTTGGCCTTTTATTATAAATTACCTGGCTGTAATTCTTTCTCTCGGGGCTTGTATTAATGACCTTTTTAAGCAACTAACTACTCTTTGTTTCCTTACAATCCAATTTCCTAAAGGGCAGTTTTGGAATTAACAGGGAAAATGTCCATCCACACAACTTTGCTCAAAACACATATGCCTTTCTGCATTTTAGATCAGTCCATCCCAACCCCATCCAGCCAAACTAGCTGGAGAACATGGAGGGCAAAAGATTAATGAAAGATGACTAAAGATGTTACCTTTATCTGGAAACAAAATACTGCAGTTTATCCTTCTTTTCTATGAAAAATGACTACTAATATAAAGTTCTTTAAGCTAATAGCACTGACACCAGATTAAAAACAAAACAAATGTCTCTCAAATGGGTTTGCACAGAGTTCTGCTCAACAAGAAAGATGCTGAATGCAATCTGTGCAGACACTCTGAGGCCTGAGATAGCTTTCCCAATTCTGCATTTTTTAAAAACTGTGCCATAGGGATTGGATGCTTTCATTCCTTGCCTTTTTCCCCCACTTCAGAAAGCCTGCATTTATACAAGCAGAACATTCTTTAAGTAATCCTGCAAAGAGCAGCAGAAAACAGTCAGCTGTGAAAGAGCAAAAACCAAAGATGGTTTCTTTATGGCAGATTAACTGCCTCTAAAGTAAAAGACATGGTGCTGTTTGATGTGTCCCCTGTGTTATTGATTGCTATGAAAATACTCTCAATGTTACTTGGAGCAAAGACAAAGATTAAATAAGAGAAAAAAGTACTCTGTTGTCATAAGCACAGCATATACTGTTGCACTGCACCATCTTTAACAGAGAAGAAAGTGGTTAAAGATACTCCCCATATGCATAGCAACATGCTACAGAAAACCCAGTTTCTGGAAAAACAAACCATGCTCTCTGAAAAGCTGGCTAGAGCGCGAAATAGCTATTGTTAGTGTGCTAAGAAGTGCACACAGCTCATTGAAGTGGGGCTGCCCTTTTACAGGACATGGTCTGGAGTCACATGATGTAGTTCCACTGCTAAAGATAAATAGATATAAATTTGGTCAGCAGTTCAATGGAGACCACGTGTAGCCATACACATATAGAATCACAGAAGAGACCTCGTGGGCCATCCAGTCCAACCCCCTGCCAAGAAGCAGAAAAATTGCATTCAAAGCACTTGTACTGGGAAAATGTTATTTGATTTATGGGTTGTATATTAGAGTATAAGGTAAAGAGGTCTTGGGAGTGGGAAGAGAATGGAATAATGGAGTGAATGTAGATTGGTGGGATGTTTGAGAAGATTTTCATTAGACTTCCAAATGATAGCTGAGAGGATTTGAGTTAGATTTGAGTTAGAGCAAGGTTAGTGTGAGAGAATCAAAGTTGCGTTGAGTGGTTGGTAAGGATCAGAGTTAGCTTGAAAGAGTGTGTAAGAAAGTGTGTCTGGTGTTTTAAATGCAATACATTAATCTATCATGTTGTGTTTTGGCCTCTGGAAACAGTATCTGCTTGAGAGCTTGGATTCCAGCAAGGTGTCTCTGGTAGCAACGCTCAATATAGAGGAGTGATGTCCATGGCCGATAGAGGTTGCAGAAATCGTCATGGGGCATTGAACCTGTCATTACGGGCATGTGGTACAACTGTAGACTTGTCCTGTCTACATATTTATCCTAATATATTTAGTTGTTGCTATCACCATCATCATTAGTTTTACCCTGCTTTCCCCTCAAAACCAGGACTACAGGATAACATCCCTACTGGCTGAGGATGATCGGGGGAAAATATGCCTTCAGATCCTATTCTCCCAAGTTCAGAGTTTTATTAAATCTAGCAGAATAATTTGGGCTGTACAATTACAAGCTAAAATGGCCACATTAAAAAAAGGGGGGGGGGTTGAAATAAGTCTTCACATTTGTATATTTCTAGGACCCTCTTAATTCGACATATAAAGAAGTGGGTGGTTGACTTACCTGCTACCCTTCCTAGTTAATAAGTAGTTAAGGTTCTAATTCCAAAGACTCCAGAACTGTTAACCAGTGCTACCATTATAGGCTGAAATTCACTAAAACAGTTGTGTATTTATGTATTGGATTTATACACAATTTTCTCCCAGAATGGGTTATTAATGGATAACTGCTATAGTTATATAGCTAGATATTATTTCCTAGCCAGGCTCCTCCAATTTCCATTTAATAGGCAGTAACCGCTGCAGTCGATGACAATCTGTTTCCTTGTTGATGGGAAAGCAGCTGACTGATGGTCTCATACCCTCCTGTAGGCAGATCTCCTGAGTGACAGACAGGAGTTGTCACCGTTCCCCTTGCACTGGGGATCACTAGCATGAAGACAAGTGGGAAAATCAGTCAACAACTTTCCAAGCAACAGAGGAATAGCCCCTATTGACTGCAGTAAGTGAGTACTGGAAGACTTTCACAGTCCCTATATGTCCCATAAAACAAGGAATATGTCAGAATCATGAATACAAACCAGTCAGGAACTTGTAACTTTAGGTTGACTGTAACATGTAATTCTGGCCTTAATTGTTAAAAACCAACTCTTTTATTCCTTCCAAGCAACTAAAACAGACAGTTTTGGTGTAGTTTTTTAAAACCTGGATGCTGCAAATCTGGCCTGTGATACAAAACACATAATAAAGACTGTTTCTTGTGCTACAAAAAGAATGTCAGCAAACTTTTTATCCAACACTAGGGTCAGGTTAGGTTTATATAAGCAAACAAAAACAGTAACCTTCTGGAGAACACTTGAAAACTTCCTGCAAAATGCATCCAAGGATGATTTTTTTTCTTTCACAACCCTCCCCCTTTCTTATGATTTCCATGCTTTTGTAACATACTGACAATTAGCAGGTGAGGCAAGTTTATCTGCTTTCCCATTTTGCTTGCTCTCTGTTTTACTGTCCATATACTTTTCAGTAAGGGATTCTGGAGGCAGCTGCTGATGAGCTTGCATGTTGTAAGCAGGTACACCCAACTACATAAAAGTCAGTTATGGTGATATCAAATAGGAATTCTATTCTTTCTCACCCTTATCGCATTATTTATTGCATTATGACATTGCGTATCTTCAGCCCTTCTTGGCAATCTTTCTACTGCACATGCTGCTTAGAAAAATTGGGGGGGGGGAGGCGCAGGGATTGTGTGTGTGTGTCAGGAGTGACTTGAGAAACTGCAAGTCATTTCTGGTGTGAGATAATTGGTGATCTGCAAGGATGTTGCCCAGGGGATGCCCAGATGTTTTACCATGAAGGTATTTCTGTTACTTATTTCTGTGGGAGGCTTCTCTAGTGTCCACGTATAAGAAGCTGGCACTGACATATGGGAGCTCTCCCTGCTTCTCAGATTCAAACTGCCAATCTTTCAGTCAGCAGTCCTGCCGGCACAAGGGTTTAACCCATTGTGACAGTGGGGTAATGGGTGGGCGTAAAAGGACTTTGTAAAAAGAAGTTTCTTTGTCATGGGCTCTGGGTTCATCTATATATAGAATTAGTGTAGTTTGACTCCAATTTAACTGCCATGGCATAATGTGATAGACTCCTGGGAGTTGTTGTTTTGTGAGACACCAGCATTACTGGACAGAGATGGCTAAACGACTTCTAAAACTACAGCCCTGATGATTCCATGGCAATGAGCCATGGCAATTAAAGTAGTGCCAAACTGCATTAAATCTACAGTATACATACAACCTATGTCAGATGAGGTATGCCTGTTATTACATGTATCTAATCACTCTCAAGCTCTGCCTTTTCAATCTTCCAGCTCTACGCATTATGTTACAGTGATGACCAGTATCAATTTAACATAATTTGGAGCTACACACATGCTTCTGACCTAATCATAGCAACAAACTGGAGTTAATTCCTCTTTGTTTATAACTAGAGAAATTAAATTAAGTAACAGAAATACTTTCTTGTAAAAATTCTCAAGGAAAATGGCATCAGCAACATATTCCTTTCCTGCTAACATTTAGGCACAGATTTTAAATAAAACACATTTTTATTTAGAGTAAATTTTAATTATTTGGGTTCCACCTAAAGCATTTAAGTTCTTAAGATTTCAAGCATATGAACCTACAAATGAGACACACTCGGGCATATGCTTTTGTTTTAATGTTTCTCTCAATTCGATATTTCCTTTCAGCAAAAGACAGCTCTGGGACGTGAAAAACCTATGCACACCATGGATCAACTATTTGGCATGTGAGTTGTTTACAGTCCATTTAATCCAGTGTTTTATTAGGTTAACCTTTATTTGACCCAAAGGTCGGGTGTTTTCTTTTCTTTCCTGGAGGCAGTCATTAGTTGAGTTGTAACTGATATTCCCAAAGAGAAACTCCATTTAAGTTGGAAAAAGAAAAATCAATGAACAGATGACCTAAGAACCAATGCGCAGATTGAGACCTGTCCCTTAGTTTAATATTCCCCAAAGGCGAAGAATAAGCAAACACCATGCCTTCAAAAGTACAAAAACAGCATACCTGTGAGAATGCAATTCCAAAAGCCACTCCAGCAATGATTCCCATATTTGTCTCCATAAAACTGGTCACTAGATCGTAACAGCCCTGGGGAGAAAAAAAGCACCTAGTTACTCTTTGAAGGTGTATTCATTTGCCTGGGACTTAACACTTATTCGGCTAGGTTTACCATTCATATTCAACAACACAAAGTAACTAATAAGTAAGAGAATGATGCTGTAATAAGTAAATTTGATACCATTTAAAGCTTTATAATTTTAAAAGTTTACATTTTAGGGATTGGTTTACAATTTTAAACCTGAAAGTATCCAAGCACAGAAAAAAAATGCAAGCATAAAGTACCCAGAAGTAGGCAAAGCGATGGTTGAGTATTTAGATTGTACTATAATCACACCTGAGAGCCAACAAAGTTTAGTAATGGGTTGAGTAATGGACTACAAGTATGGTTTTAATTTCCCCTCCACCATGGAAATGAACTTAGACAAGCCCCTACACTACAACACTTTAGGAAAGAGTTTTAAAAACTTTTTTTCCAGCAGGTATTTTATAATGTTTAGACAGTAACCAGAACTGATTGCCGATCACTAAGCACTTTATTTCTTCATTCTGTGCATTCAGCAAGGCTGCTATATTGATTACATGGATTTTTTAACTGATTCTATTTTTAATAGAGGTGGTTTTATCCAATTTATATACCTGGTTTATGTAATATAGTATTGTTTTCATGCTGATGTATTTTATTTTATGTATTATGTATTTTATTATTTATGGCATCTTTGTGTGCTATTTTGTAAGCCTCCCCAAGTCCCTAAGGGAGATGGTGGTGGGGTATAAATAAAGTATTTATTATTATTAAATCCATCGGGTGACTTTGGGCAAGTCACACTCTCTCAGCCTCAGAGGAAGGCCAACTTCCTGTGAACAAATCTTGCCAAGACAATCTAATAATATGGTTACCTTAGGACTAAAATGATTTGAAGGCACATAGCAACAGCAATCATGCTTCAGATAGAAGCTAAGAAGGAACGTTGACAGAATGAGGCCAGGAGCAATGCTTGTAACCAATGGTTACCTTGGGACTGCCAAAAGGTTGAAGTTTCAGTATCAGTTTGGAACAAATCTTCACCAGACGTCATCTATGGTGGTGGGATTGGGGAAAAATACTTGTATTTTGATTGTTGAATTTTGAAGATTGTATGTTCCTCTCTCTGTGTGTATACATACAGTCGAGTCTCAGTTATCCAACATAAACAGGCAGAACGTTGGATAAGCGAAAATGTTGGATAATAAGGAGAGTTTAAGAAAAAGCCTATTAAATATCAAATTATGTTATGATGTTACAAATTAAGCACTAAAACATCCTGTTTTACAACAAATCAAAAGAAAAAAGCAGTTCAATACATGGTAACATATGTAGTAATTACTGTATTTACAAATTTAGCACTAAAACATTGCAATGTATTGAAACAGCTGTGGATTGGGGCGGGAGGCAGACTGTGTTGGATAATACAAAATGTTGGATGAGCAAAGGTTGGATAAGCGAGAATGCACTAACACTTTTCTTCATGCTACGTAATTGTTCCACTATTAATATTTTAAAAAGGAAAGCTGTTTTATTATCACTTGTCATGTATTCTTAAATTGAGAGCCGCAATACTTTATAAGATAATGTTCCTTGTTTGTTTTGTAGTAAAATGTGTGTCTAAATTTATAACAACAGTTGAGTGACAGCAAAAATCTGCCTGGGCAATCCATGACCCACATTTTATATGTACTTAATCCATCTTTATCCCTCTTGACACATCAGCCTCCTTCTTTTGGATCAGTGTTCTTGTGTGGTCTTTGGTTTAATTTTCAAGATATGCACAGGAGGTCAACTGCTTGTGACGACAACCTCAGGCTTTTGTTTGATATAAATAATCACAGATGTAGGGATCTGACAAGAGTTAAGGGCAGGGATAGAGAAACCAAAGAAATTCTCCAGTTAGGACAGCTGACAGTCTCTGAAAGAGGCTCTAACTTGGTATTATACAACTAGCAGTCTAGAGGCCAAATCCAATTATGAGTGATATTCACTTGGCCAGGCCCGTAGCCAGGATTTCATTTCGGGGGGGGGGGGGCTGAATTTTTTCAGGGGGGGTTTCAGGGGGGCTGAGTCTGAGTGAAAGAGGGTCTAGCCTAGCAAACCTTTTGTATCATTACCCCAATACCCCCATGCATATGGGATATATTGAGTATGGTGATCAGATCATGATATGAATAAACATAACAGTTTAAATAATGCACCAGGAAGGCCTTTTCTCGAACCACCATGAGAATTTTGGGCGGGGCTGAAGCCCCTCAAGCCCCCCCCCCCCCCCGGCTACATGCCTGCACTTGGCCTATGCACTTTGGTCATACATGATATAGGAACTGACTTATGTTTCTAGCAGTGCTTTCAGTACAAAAGAAGTTGAGGCTTTCTAGATTAACTCATACTCAAATCCTGAACGTAAGCAATAAGGTATGGTGCAATGATTTAATCTTATTTTTTCCTGATGGATTATAGTAGGAATGGTAACTGGCCCTGTTTTCATTTTCTCTATCTGTCTCTCTATACCAGTGGTTCCCAACCTCTGTTCCATGAACCACCAGTGGTCCCCAAAAACTAAAATATGGTCTGTCACCTCACCATTACTACACCATTGCAACGAGGGCAACTAGTCTTGCAAAACCCTGCTGAAGCAATGTGGATGTCGGAAGGGGAGAGGCTGGCTATCCATGAAAGGTGAGACAACAAGCCTCCTAATTGCTGCTTCTCCCCCTCCCCCTCTCCCTCCCCGCTCAGCAGAGCTGTTCCATGTGATACCTGGAAAGGGGAGCACCTTGGTGTCTTCATGTTTAGGCCTGTCCCTGAGCACCAAAAGGGGTTTTGATTCAGAAAATTGCATTTGATAGACCACAACAAGTCTAGATTATTAAACATGGTTTTCTGTGGGCGAGCAAATGGCGACTGCAGGATGGCATATGTTCTGTATCAGAAAGTAGAGCTGATGTGGTCTATCCAAGGCAATTTTCTGAATCAGCACCCCAAATAACCAAACCAAATCTAAAGTTGATGAAAAACTGATTCATTAGCCCTTTTGGTGCTAATATTGGAGAGAGGTCCCTGGTCAAAGTGGTCCTTGGTCAAAAGGGGGTTGGGAACCACTGCTCTACACACTATCCTGAGTTTTTAAGAGGTTAATGCTAATCTGGTACATCTGATATCCTGCTTGGTTTCTTGCTTGATTTCTCCCAGGGGAGAAGCAGCACCTTGCCTCCCGTTTTTAGCCATTAATTTCCCGACTAATGCCTCTGGCCAGGTCACACTGTACTTCTTTAGGAACTAAATGCTTTTTCTCATGAAAACCACAGGGACTTCTACAACATCATTGGCTCTACACATCAGGCCTGCACAAACTGGGTCCTCATGGTGTTTAGGCCTCCAACACAAAGAAGCCCTAGACAGCTTATCCAATGTTCAGGAATCATGGGAACTGAAGTCCAAAACAGGTTGTATAGATCTGTTCTACATCCATAAGAGTGATGGTCATCACCAATACAGCAATGGTGAGAAGCTACTCACAGTCAGAGGGCCAAATCCAAGCTCTGGAAAACTGGGGAGAAGTATATTTGGGTGGAGGTTGGGGCCAAAAGTAAAAGTGTGAGACCCGAAACATCAGAATGATTCAGTTTACATCTCTTAGTATTAATACCTAAGCATTTAGGAAAGCATTTTAAACTTTTAGCTGGGATACCACCACACCAAATAACAACATCAAACAGAAAAAGGTGTGACCATTTGGGGAACTCTAGAGTGAGTTTCAGTTCTGAAATGAGAGGGATATCTGCTTCCTCTAGGATTAGTCACCAGGATTATTCGTTGGTGAGACAGGCAGCAAATTGTGAAAGAGATGGATCTTTTAACCAGATTCCCCTGGTTAAACCATTACTTTTAAGTAATAATGCTGTATCACTTCCAAGGAACTTCTGTGTCTTGGCATCTCACCTGCTAATGATCTGCCTTCATCCAGTTTGAAAAAGTTGGCTCAATTTATATTATTTAATATGTTGCCCATATATCTTTATACCATTATATATATATTTACTTCTGGTTAAAAAAGATCCCTTTTAAACCAAAGAACAAGTTTTCAAATTTGTACCAATAATCTGTAGAAGGGGCAAAATGTGAGGCAGCCCTCTAGATGTTGTGGGACTGAAAGTACCAGCAGCTTTAGCTAGCACAACCAAAACAAAGGAATGATAGAAATTAGAGTTCACTAACATTGAATAGGTCACCATTCAGTTCCCACCTGAGTCTAACATGTATACCAAAATGAACTGACAAAAAATAGCACTGGCCATAACACATCACTCTTAGATGATGGCTTGCAAAATGCTCAAGAGTCTGTTCTTGCTGAGATAATATTTATTCTCCTGCAAACCTTGGCAAGGACAAATAAACAGAAAAGAACTTTCGTTCATTTAAGGAAGACATAGTAGGGGGTAGGTGGGCTCATACATTGCATAAACCACAAGTGGCACAAAACCATGAAATCATATTTTCCACACATTTATTCATCTGGTTTGCTTTCACTCACAGTTGCTAAAACACCATGGCAGCACAAACCCTTTTTGGTTCAGGGTCAATTTTTGCTGTGTTCTGCCTGCAGCACTACAGCTTCAGTAACGCTATAACAGGTGCAGTAAACATACCTAATGAAGCATAGTGCTTATGTCAATCACCCCTATTTTCCCAGTCTAGGAAGGCTGTTAACATCCGGCACATGACACATCTTTCGCAAGACAAGTTGAAAAATAGAAATGGGGGGAGGGTGATGAGGACAGATGTGATGACTGACATAAATACTGAGGTAATCTGAATATACTTGCTGCCTTGTCAGATCTGTCTCTCAGGTAGAAATCTTCCATTAGAATGAGAATCACAAGTATAGGAAGATACCTCAAAAATTAATGGCAGAGCCTGATAATTGTGGCTTATAGGAAACAACTTTTTGGTGATGATACTGGGTAAATGTTATCTCTCAAATGGTGCCAGTAACTACACTGAAAAGGAATGATTGCTGCCAACTCTGGCCATGCCTACACAGGCCAAATAAAGTGGACTCATCTTACAACAGCTGAGAATCCCACATGATACACAACTGGTTTTGCAACTGAAGTGCAGCTTCCAGACACTAATCTGGTGCAAGGGGAACTACTATTTAAAGGAACCTCAACAGTGATCCCAGTGTTTTTGAGCTGTGAAAGCTGGATTGGGTTGGATCCAGGCCTGTCCCGTGACCCCAAATCACATAGACACACCCCTGTGTTATCAGCTAGATGCAGCTCCCTGGCAGAGCCTTGTTGGTGCCATCACTTCTGCTGGTCACATGGCTGGACACCCTACCTGGGAACTGCATGTAGCTGGTGACACAGCAGCAGTGGTGACCCCAACCTTAACCTGACCAGTCATCGGGACACCAAAAGGGCTGAGGTGACACTGTATCTGGGGCAGCTCCAAAACGCAATACTCCATATTGTTTTGTTACTTGTAAATGCAGCCTTTGTCAATGTCTACTTTCCAATACATTTCTCATTTTGTTTAAAGACAAACCATACAGGAGTACCCAAAGTGGATTTATATACCTGTTTTTTTTCTTTATTCCACTTTCCATGGATTTATATACCTGGTTTTTTTTCTTTATTCCACTTTCAAACAGCTAAATCACAAAATATTTCTATCCCTGTCATGAAGACCTATGGGAATTGTTTTGATAAATGCTTATTAAAAAAAGAAAAGGAACTACATTTTCAACCCTTTGCACTGGTTAAATTCAAAAGCAAATGTATTCATCCATCATGAGAACCAGGTTATGTCAGTGGATAGTATGACTACTAAAGAGCAGAAGACTGTTAGAAGAAAAGGAGATGACAACATTAATTCAGCTCCAAAAATAGGGTTGATTGCATCCCACTACAGAGGGATTCAAACTCTGACTTTTAAACCTAGGCTGTCAAAACCTGTCCCTGGGTATTTATTTAACATTTATTTATTTATGACATTTATATGTCTCCCTTCTCACCCCAAAGGGGACTCAGGGTGGCTTACATAATTGGCATTATTCCATGCCCAAACAACAGCAATTATGAAAAGTACTTAAAGCAATTAAACAATTTAAAACCTGCCAATGTGGCTTCCCCCAACCCTCATATTTTAGTTTGGTTTTATTTTAAATGTGTATTTATGAAAACAATTGCACATTTCAGATGAAAACACAACCTGCATGAGAAACGCACCCATCCCCAGCTCATACCTTCTGGTTGATTTTAGTAGGAGCAATGGTCATGTTACGGAGGTCCCCGGGATTACAGTCACTGGAGTTCATGCAACAGCTTGGTGGGATGCCATGTTCATTGAAATATGGGCTAGTGTTCCAGTTAGTGTAATTCTGGACTCCACAGCAACTCAGCTAAAAACAATGAAAAGGGATCACAGGGAGAAATCACAATGTTAAAAGTAAGAGCTGTTCCATGCACTTAATAATAGTAATAAAGGTTTATTTCTATCCCACCCCTCTTTCCAGGGGACTTGGGGTGGCTTACAACATAGATAATACAATAAAGTTCAGTACAGTAAAATAAAATACATAAAATGAAATAAACAATTCACAATACATCAAATCAACATAACACATGAAATACAGCATAATCAAAAAACAAAATTAACAATGAAATTATAACCAATAGATTAAAACATAGTCATTCCTATAAGCTAAAAAGGCATTGCTATCGAGATAGACTTCAACTCAAAAAATACTGAGTACATTTTTTAAAAAAAATATCAAAACAACCACAAATGGAGAGGAAAAAACCTTTTTTTCCCCTTGAATATAGTGTCATGATTACTATAGCATTATTAATATGTGCAACACATAACAGAGCAGGAAACAAAGGGAATCTCTAGCCCAGAGGAGCCTATTCATCTAAAATTCAACAAAACAGGAAAAAGAAGGGGAATGAGGATTTTTAGCTTCCAGCACCTGTAAGGCTCTGATTCTCAACTATAGCATTAGGAGAATTGGCTTTATAATTCATTCCATCAGACACACATTGTGCGCCAGCTGCGCCCGTACCTTGGGAAGTCTGACTTGGCCACGGTAGTCCACGCTCTGGTTACATCCCGCATAGATTACTGCAACGCACTCTACGTGGGGTTGCCTTTGAAGACGGCCCGGAAGCTTCAAATGGTCCAGCGTGCAGCAGCCAGGTTGCTAACAGGAGCGGCGTTCAGGGAGCACACAACTCCTCTGCTGCGCCAGCTCCACTGGCTGCCAGTTTGCTACCGGGCACAATTCAAAGTGCTGGCTTTAGCCTATAAAGCCCTAAACGGTTCTGGCCCAGCCTACCTATCCGAACGCATCTCTTCCTACGAACCCTCCAGGAAGTTAAGATCATCTGAGGAGGCCCTGCTCTCGATCCCGTCTGCTTCGCAAGCACGCTTGGCGGGGACAAGAGACAGGGCCTTCTCTGTGGTGGCCCCTCGGCTGTGGAACTCCCTGCCTAGGGATATTAGATCAGCCCCCTCCCTCCTCACCTTTCGTAAGAGAGTGAAAACCTGGCTCTTCGAGCAGGCATTCGGAACCCCGGAATAGTCAAGCTTGAGATGGAGAATGACCCAGGAACGGCCAAGACGATGAAACGGATGAGGATTGGATTGAGAGGATATAGCTCTTTTTAAATTGTTATTGCACTGTCTTTTTTGTCTAAATGCACTTAATTGTTTTTGCTTTTGTATTGTATTGATGGCATCGAATTGTGCCGATATGTAGACCGCCCTGAGTCGCCTGCGGGCTGATATGGGCGGGATATAAGTGATGTAAATAAATAATAAATAATAATCTATAAATGTGGGTGTCCCACTTTTAAACTTCAGTGTGTGAATTCTGCCTCCCAGAATCAGGATTGCCGCTATTGGTTCTATGATTCTATTATGAAAGACTAAATTTTACAAGAAAACTGCAGAAACTTCACTGGAACAACCACTTCTTAATAATGTGGATCCAGGAATTCCTTCTCCACCGAAAGTCACTGAGCTGTAGGCAAAGCCTGAAGAAATTACCTTTCCAACAGTTCAGCTCCCAGAATCCCTTGTGAGAGCACTACTCAAAAAAGGAGCTTTACTAAGCTCTGGCTGGAGGACAGAACAAGAAACAGGCATATATCTAATTTTAAAGAAATTAAGCAGTATCCTAGGCAATTCTGGATTCATGATATCCTCTAAGTAATAGAAGCAGTAATAAAGGCAAAAATATGGAAGCAAATATTGTTGGGTAAATGCAATCTCACACACATTCCTGTGTTTTGTACCATGCTGTAATGCGATCTACTGAAATTCCAAAGTTTATTGCCCCTGATTTAAATATGCATGTAAGCTAATGTGTTGTCCACCATTTCTGAAGGTGTTTGGGTCACGTATGTCTGACCACATGTTTGGAAGGGTATAAAAGGGGGGTGCATCCTTTTGTTCTCCCCATTTGCCCAGTTCATCTATTTTGTTTTGCTACTTTTGGGGATATAACTGCTTTGGGAAGATGAGGCCTGTTGCTATCCATTCAAGGCCTTTCTACTCATTGCTGTGAATGTAACCACAAGATCTGTTTACTAGGGCTGGGCGGTTTCGTTTCGTAAATTCGTAATTCGTTAAAAATTCGTTATTTTTTTTAAATAACGAAGCGATAACAAACCATTCTGGAGCAACTTAAAAACGAAACGAATTTTTAAATTCGTTTCGTAATTGTTTCGGATTCGTTATGTATTCGTTTCGTTATCGTTTTGAAGTCGTTTCGTTATTATTTCCGCATGTCTGGGGCAAGTTTTATAGTTGTTTTTTGTTTAATTAGTGAAAAAAAATTATAATATCACACCAACAGTCAACAACAGAGGGAGAGGGAAGCTTCAGAAGTTCCCCCTGTCCCATTTGGAGGTTTTTAAGCGTATTGCGCGGTCGCGCCCGCCATTAACGAATCGATTCGTTATTGTTTTGAAATTGTTTCGTTATTGTTTCGTAATTTTTTTTACATTTACGAAATTTCGTAAATATCGAACTTTTTAAAAGAAAAATTTCGGAATTCTTTTAAAAATTGAAACGCAAAACCCCCCAAAAAACCAATCGATTTTAGAAACAAATTTTTCCGTGGTTGCCCAGGCCTACTGTTTACCTGTATGAATTTACATCATGCAAGCTTTTCTAAGTAAGTAAATACTTTTGATTTTTAACTCTGTCTCTGAATGGTTATTTGCATGCGTATTTCCTAAAGGAGAGAAAGAAGGGGGGTGGCCGAGTACTTTTTTTTCTGCCGCTGGCATTCATCTACCTTAGCTCTGTTTTCTACAGGCTTCCTGCTGTGTACATTAAAAGCTATTTTCTGGTGTTGTAACGACTGCCAGATTATGCAAATATAGTTTTATTCATCAAATATATATGGTAAAAATAATACAGGAAGTTGCCCGGTGTTGAGTCAATCTTTTAGTCCATCTTGCTTACTTCTTTCTCATGTAAGAACAAATATTTTCAAACATGTTCTCCCATTTACATCCCATAAAGATTATAATTCCTTTGTAGTTTTATGTAACCCCTCTCTTTATTTGTACTAAAGCTTTGGAAAAACTTACTTTTTGCACAGAAAACAATGCATTTTCAGCGAAACACTGTGTTCTCCACACAAAACAGATTTTGTGTAAAATCAATAGTTTTAAGCACAACATTCATTTTTGCAAAAACTTCCAAGGTGAAAAGAGTATTTCATGGTGGTTGAATACTCATTGTTATTATTACTACTTATTTATTTAGCACTACTAATTTGTCTTAGGTCTCCACAAGTCAACAAAGACTTGAGAGCACACAACACTGATTGAAAGTAAATGTTCTTCAAAGTATAGATATTTAGAAGTTCTCTTTTATTATTCAATTGCCCAAAGCAGATGACTATCCCAGTCAAAGGTTAGGGACAATAAAAATCATTGTAGTGAAAACAATATTTTCTCTATACAAGATTTCTCAATGCTGAGTGGTAAGTGGGGAAATAAACTGAGTAGCACACATGATTTCAGTCATTTGGTTCAAAACTGAATCAAGAATCAACATTTTGGATTATGGACAATCGTGTTGCAACCACATTACTGGATTAGTAGAGTACTCCAAAACTTACACTCTGTTGTACATCATCCACTGCACGGCTCTTCTCATCGTTTCCATTGTAATTCTGGATGGCTTCAGTGTATGTCCTAAGGAAAGTGTCCTTGATCTAAAAGGGGAATTCAGACAATGTGGTATGCTCTTACTGAGTTGGCATGCAAACATTTCCAGGGCTCAAGTTCTCCACATGAATTATACTCACTACCAACCACAGGGAAATGATTAAAAAGGTATGTATACTTTTAGACAAAAAATAGGTGCAAAAGCACTAAGTGTGTTGCCCCTGCCATTCCTCTTGAAAAGTTCATTCAGCAATGAAAAAAGTTATCACAGAAAATTCTGTAGTCCTTTATGTGAGCACTTACTGTGGTGAGCCTGTGTGTTAAATCCTCCATTCAGTATGCAAAGGAAGTGTCAAGAAGTCAGAGGCACCAGGTAAAAAAAACAAAAGCAAAATATGGACACAGAATAAAGGAATGAAGATCCGGGACTGGCTATTCAACCTTCCCAATGGAAGCTTTTTGTTTTATTCTCTGAAATAATGGGCTTCCAAGCTGTGGAAGCGGCTTTAAAAAAGCAATGTTACGAAATACATGTCCCACAATATCACACAATTATAATGCTAGTGCAGGCAGCCTCTAACTGCAGCCCTCCAGCTGTTTGGGCCTCCAACTCCCAGAATTCCTGACCTTTGAACAAGCTGGGCTTCTGGGATTTGGAGGCCCAAACAGCTGGAGGGCAGCAGTTTGAGGATGTCAGTGCTAGAGGTTAGTAGAGTATTTTTATTCATTTACTTTGGATTACAGCTCTCTGAATTCCCCCTGGTTAGCATGACCAGTAGCAATACCAACTACAGGATTCTGAGAAGTGAAGCCCCAAAATGTCAATCTACAGAAAATTCCTACACATATTTCCATCACTCAGATATCATTTTTAAAAAACACTAGCAGCAAAAGCATTTTAAAATTCTAAAATAGATATATATTTAAATCTGTGCCTTTCCCTGAAAAACAGAGGTGGCACTTTTGGACACCTTCATTTTGAATGTTTGAGATCACCTGCAAATGACAGAGAACCCCCAAATGCAACAGCTATAAACCCAATAAATGGCTTCTGGTCTACTTCCAGTTTTCATTTATCTTAGGGTAATTAGGGGATTTCGGTTTGGCTGCCTGCCCCAAAGACAAACTCAGTGTTCCTGGAAACCTCAAGGGTGAACAAACCACATTTTTGCAAAGAACAACATTTGGGGATGGGGTGCACTGGGAGGGTCCATGGCCCACAAAACTACTTTGGGATCACATACGATACAAAGAACTCAATGACATAGCTGTGCTGGTCTGCAAAGGGATCTTGCAGCATTTTTGAGACAGAGAGGAAGAAATTGGTAGTGTATGTTTTCATAGAGAAAGGGCCCTTCTGTGTTGACCAATGAAGTGAGCTTGTTCCAGCATCCCGGACCCAGTCCAACCATTGTAGCAAGGCCACAGTCTGGCAGATGACTGCCAGACCACTCTGGAGGAAGTAGGTGCGGGTGTCACAGCTGGCAACAGCTACAACACAAGAAGAAGGGACAGTAGGGAATTGTCATCCCATGTCCCCGGCCCAGGTGTCTTGACACATACTAATTCTAGAGATAATCCAAATCCTTCTTCCAGATTCAAATCCCCTCTCCCCCCAAAAAGAAAGTTTAACCCAGTAAAAAGTTGCTCCAAGGACAGGGAAGTGGTGCTGATGAGTCAATTGCCCAGTCAACCAGCTGGACAGCAGAATGGCTTTGGGGGGGGGGAGGGGGTCGATGTTGGACCTGGGGCAGCTCCAGAGCAGAGTATTGCAGAGTATTTTGGGTTGTATAGACACAGCCTAAGATTACAAAAGTTTATGCTCCTAACTTTGTTTCAAAGGTCCTATGACATCCCTTTGTATGTGATTCACAGACCACATTCCTTCCACCTTGGATGCAAATCAAAGAGAAATCTATTAACTTTGAAATTTCAGCACATCTCTTTAGTTAGAATTTTTTTTAAAAAACAAAAAACAAAAAAAACACAGCGACAACTCCCAGTAGAAGCTTTGTGTTCCTCAATCCCATCTTCTTCCTTGGCACATAATAAACAACATTTAAGAGTACAGTGGAGTCTCACTTATCCAACATACATGGGCCGGCAGAATGTTGGATAAGCGAAATGTTGGATAATAAGGAGGGATTAAGCCTAGTAACGGCGCTCCATGCAGTCATGCCGGCCACATGACCTTGGAGGTGTCTACGGACAACGCTGGCTCTTCGGCTTAGAAATGGAGATGAGCACTACCACCCCAGATCAGACATGACTGGACTTAATGTCAGGGGACTACTTTTACCTTTACCTAAGCCTATTAAATGTCAAATTACATTACAATTTTACAAATTAAGCACAAAAATATCATGTTTTACAACAAATCAACAGAAAAAGCAGTTCAATACACAATAATGTTATGCAGTAATTACTGTATTTATGAATTTAGCGCCAAAATATCGCAATGTATCGAAACAGTTGTGGATCCAGGTGGGAGGCAGACTGCACTGGATAATACAGAACGTTGGATGAGCGAAGGTTGGATAAGCGAGACTCAACTATATTTCAATAGCAGTTTGCAGGAAGCATCTGACTGCTTTTAAAATAATTAATAAAATGCATACTTTGATGGATATATTTARACCTGGGCTTTTCCCCCTCCCAGCTTATTTTCAGTTAATGTTTCTATCAGACAATTTTCAGCTATTCTTACATWAAAAAAAAATCACAATATGTATGAAATGAGCCAAGAGGCACTTGCGTTATAGCAGGGGTCCTCAAACTAAGGCCCRGGGGCCGGATACGGCCCTCCAAGCTCATTTACCCAGCCCTCACTCAGGGTCAACCTAAGTCTGAAACTATTTGAAAGTGCACAACAACAACAACAACAATCCTATCTCATCAGCCAAAAGTAGGCCCACACTTTCCATTGAAATACTAATAATTTTATATTTGTTAAAACTGTTCTTCATTTTAATTATTGTGTTGTTTTAAAGTGTTTTTTGCACTACAAATAAGATATGTGCAGTGTGCATAGGAATTCATTCATGTTTTTTTCAAATAATAATCCGGCCCTCCAAAAGTTTGAGGGACTGTGACCTGGCCCTCGGTTTAAAAAGTTTGAGGACCCCTGCATTATAGACACAAGCTGTTCTATTATTTTATTGTGTCTTCGTAACTCAATTCATACTCTCCCTTGCTTCTTCTAGCTTTGCTGACACTTTTTAGCATACGACTAAATACGATTTGCAGGACAGTAAAGCAACTGGTTTAGTTTGGCTCTGCATTCTTGGAAATCCTCTCCGCATTATACACTCAGATGCTTGTCCAGTAGAGGTAATATCATTTATGCAAAGAATTTAAGCTATATTGCAGTCCTCAGCATACATAACTGGGTAAAGAGGATCTTACATGATGAACATGTAAAGAAACTGGGCTCAAAAGTAAATACTGAAGAGCAAAAGCCTGGAGCTTTAGCTAAATCCTTTCATTTGGAATGATAACAGGTTTTGGGACTGCACATTTTGCTGCCAAATAAAACAGCTGCATCACCGAGAGCGCATATGAAATTGCTGAACTCGGCAACCTAGATAATAATACCCAGTGCCCTAAGAGGCTTCAGCAAAAACTGCTCAAAGCCAGAATGTGACCACCTTTATCAACAAGTAATTTACACTCACCTCATGGCGAAACACAAATCCCGAAATGCCAGCCACTAACTCAGCCAGGAAGACCAGGGACAAGAACATGGCATACTGAAAGACAAGTGGGAAAGGAGAGATGTCAAGGGGTTTAGTACAGATTTTTCCTGTTCACTCCCTCTGGGTTTTTACATTTATAACAGCCACTATCACCATCAAGACTCTAGTAGAAGCTCCAATTCTTCATTGCAAATCTCACATTATACTAATTTGAGTAGTCTCTGCATGGGAATGGGACCAACATCATACTCACAGGAACTGCAGGCTACTGTTTTCACAGCTTGGAACAGTTGGAGTAGAGTACTCTGGAAGCCACATTCCTAAAAACTACATTTTCCAAGCTCTGGTCATTTATCAAACTACAAATAAAACAATACAGTACAAACCCCATATCTGGGAAGGATATGTTTCTGGACTAGGTGGAAATGCAAAAGTGCATATAATAGTGAGCCCTATTGAAATGAACAATTACTATCAGAAGCATATAATAGAATCGTACTGAGTATCTAGAAAATGCATAGAGAGAATGCCTCTGTAACATTTCTAGTCCTCCAGTACAACTCAATGGTCAATGTCTGGCAGAAGCATATCATGGAATCAAGTGAAAGGACCTAAAATATCATAGAATCATAGAGTTGGAAGAAACCTTGTGGGCCATCCAGTCCAACCCCCTGCTAAGAAGCAGGAAAATGGCATTGAAAGCACACCTGATAGATGGCCATCCAGCCTCTGTTTAAAAGCCTCCAAAGAAGGAACCACCACCACACTCTGGGGCAGAGAGTTCCACTGCTGAACAGCTCTCACAGGAAGTTCTTCCTCATGTTCAGGTGGAATATCCTGACCTGCAATTTGATGCCATTGTTCTGCATTTTAGTCTCCATGGCAACAGAAAATAAGCTTGCTCCCTCCTCCCTAAGACTTCCCCTCACATATTTATACATGGCCATCATGTCTCATCTCTTCTGCAACCTGAACAAGGCCAGCTCTTTAAGCCACTCCTCATAGGGCTCATTCTCCAGACCCATGATAATTTCAGTTGGCCTTTTCTAAATGCTTACAAAGAGCTCCTCTCTAGCATTTTAGGTCTTCCAGCAGAAATCTATGATCAGTGACTGGTGAAAGCATACCAGAGAATCATACTGGATGATCTAGAAAATGCAGATAAAATGAGAGAGCCAGTGATTTCTGCAAGTGCTCTTCCAGATATGAGCACCATACCTGGACCCCTGTCCTAACTACATGGTCAGTACGTAGACTTCCTGTATAATAGTGACTCTTATCCTTAGGGTCCCTTTAGCTGTATAAGCTACCGAAATAATGTCCACTTTTATTTGAATAGAAATTTGCACTAGGAAGATATCTGATTTTATGCACAAAACCTTACCTGGGTAGAGTTTCTCCATGCTAAAATTTGGGCACCATAGAACAGGATCTATGAGAGCTAGCATGGCGTAGAGGTTTGAATGCTGAAATACAACTCTGGAGACCAGGGTTTGAAGCCCCACTCAGCCATGAAAACCCACTGGATGACCCTGGGCAAGTCACACACTCTTAGCCCCAGAAAACCCTGTGATAGGCTCACCTTTGGATCACTGTAAGTCTGAGCTTGAAGACACACAACAATAAACCCATACGTTGGGCAGGCAAATATGTTCTGGGATTTTAATCAGTTCTCCACAGTTTGTGTTTATTTTTATTATCCTAGTCAGCACTAGCAAAGGTAGTGTTGTCTGAAGGAAATCTTAATCTGTGCCAGCAAGTTATAATGTTATACAACCACACTTGGGAATTAATGAAAGTACTTCTGAAAGGTAGAGACCTAATCGGTGTAGTGGTTTCAGTGTTGAAGTATTACTCTGGAGATGAGAGTCTGCATTCCTGCTCAGCCATGGAAATCCATTGGGTGACTTTGGACAAGTCACACTCTCTCAGCCTCAGTGAAAAGCTCTGAACATATTTTGGCAGGAAAACCCCATAATAGGTTTACCATAAGGTCACTATAAATTGGAAATTACTTAACGGCACAGAACAACGACCACTAACAAAAGGTAGAAAACACAGGTTCAGATCCATTTGGAAGAAAGAGGAAATAGAGAATACCTGTTCTTAATATTTCTTAGGATTACTATGAACTTTACACAAAGTAAAATATTACAGTCAGTTGCTCTGAGCGTCAGACATACTGCCGATATGAAATTTTATTGCTGTGTTATTTTTATAGACTTTATTGTCTTATGCCATGTTTTCCTGTTTTATTGATTTGGTATTTTATTGGATTTTAGATTACGTTTTATGGTGGGATTTTTGGGAATCCACCCTGTAAATATCTCTGACATTGTGAGGCAGGATGCAAATAGTATAAAATAAATAAATGATCTGAGATATAGAGAGCGCTAAATCAAAACCACAGGGTGATTTCACGGCAGGTGGACTTACTCAGTTGAAATATCTATTCTATGTGAATTAATTCATGAACTGCCCATCAACACACTAGCACAGTTATTGTCTACATATGTCTCTTTTGCAGCAAGAAGGATTTAAACAGGGTACGATTTGGTTAAAGGCACTGCTCTCATCATTACATAGGCTGAGTATTTTGTTTAACAGAAGTGTGCCAACAGACCTAATATAACTTCAAGAAACAACCCCTGAAAACTAAAACAGCAAAGCTGAAGGGAAAAAAAACAACAACACGAAAGCAGATTAGCCTACCTCAATTAACTACCTTGACAGGTTGGAAAAATGTGGTTTATCCAAAAAAGGAAATAAGAGAATGCACAAAAAATGTAAACTTCCTACAAAAGAAACTAAACTTCAATTCCCAAGTATACTAAAGCTATCAAATATTTTGCTCCCAAAATGGAAATTGAAATAAACAATGACAGGACAGCGCTGCCACCAATTGCAATAAAGTGTAACTTCTTTACTGCTACTACTAACTACTAGTAGCAACAGATAATAGCCTGGCGAGGCTGTGACAGACAACAGGCACACACACCCTCACACATAAGGCATGACAGTAAAATGCTACCACTGTATGTTATATTTTCCTTTGCTGCCACCAAATATATAATAAGGTTTTCTTTTGCTGCCACCTTCTATTGTTTCATAGTCCACCTCCTTGCCAGAATGTTTAAGAAGACACACCAACTCTTCAGGTGAAATGAAACAAGAATATGTTGTTTATTTTGTTCTTAAACAGGAAAGATGGGTGATGGTTTCAATAATCTGAGAGGCTTTCATTATATAAAGAATGGCCTTTTAACTTGAGTTCCTTAAAAGCAATGTTCCACACACAGGAATACAAACAGGTTATTCTGAACCTTTTGAATCCTTCCTCCACACCAGCCTTCTATCACTATAGAGGCCTATTTTCCTCAAAGAAATATATTTTAACAGTTCCCAAAACTATTCCTTAATTCCGTCTCCTTCAAAACTCCTAACCAACTCTAATAATTTTAAACTCCCAACTAATCATAATGGCTGCCTTATCACCTTCCTTTTCCCTTTGGCTCCCCTTCTCCAGTTGATAAGCATTTCCCTCCAATTTCATCAACCAATCAGACTGCTCTTCCTGCTATGAAGCTGCCTTACTGCTCCAACCCCCCTGCTCTCCTTAGCTTCCAAGCCAGGCCTGTTTACTTCATTGTCCACCAACCCTTTAAGATGGGCCAATCCGTTACATTCATCAAAATAAAAATGGAGGCTGGTGAAAGAAAAAAAAGTAATATTGGGGTATACTTTAGAAGAAACTGTAAAGTGCTTTCTAAAATATTCAAAGTGGTGTTGTTGTTTTTTTCATTGTGCAAGGCTTACCAGGCCTGGTTGCTTCATTTCACATGTAATGTGTAATGTTAGTTTTGAAATTTGCTGGAACATGTTGCAGATATTGGAGCAAAAGGCTGAAATACACTTACATGTGAAGGTGACAGTAGGATAAGTGTGATGGGGAAAATGGGAAGCTAGCTCATGCTTAAATTTGTATCCTTGGTTTAATGGAGTTTCCTAATTCAAAAATATTTTGGCTTCAGTCCTGAAATTCAAAAAGAAGAGAGCAGCATGCACATCCTGGCAGACTTTCCCTGGCAGCAACTTCCAGCTAGCTTGCTTGGGCACACTGATAGTCAAACAAGGCACCTGCGAGCCAGCTGGCAGAGAAAGCTCTGCTGAAAGCCCTGGAGGTTGCTTCCATGTGGCCCTGGAGGTTGCAACAATCGATCTCAGGAAAGCCATATACATTTATTTTACTGCCAGTTGGTTCTGTGCTCTGGGAAATGGCGTGTTATGAGTTTACAGGTATAAATAAAGATATACCTCAGTTAATGAAGAAAATGTTTTAATGAAGTTAATTTGGTTCATGAAGGAAGTTTCCCTTGGACTGGCTACATCCTTTATGTGAGCCAGGTATTAAAACCCAGCTATCTTTGACAGGATTTTGGGGCAATCCCAAAGTCTGAACTTCATGCCTTATATCTGGGGAATTATTATTATTACTATTATTATTATTATCCCACTTTATCTCCCCAAAGCAGACTTTAAACCGTTTGACATAAAAGCATTAGTAAACAATTTAAAATATATCAATATGCAAAAATTAAAATGGAATTAAACACAAACAGTACTAAAAAAAATCAGTTTTAAATCCATCAAAAAGGTTTAAAATGAAGAGGAAGGCTGGTTTGCCACTGCAAATGACAACTGAGAGTTGTCATGTGCTCCCTCAGTGCCTCCTCCCTTCTCCTGAGAACAAAGCCACCCATTGACACTGGCACCATCTTCCTTCTTTGAAGAGAAAGGCTGGTATCAAAGGTAGAGATAATATGGCATGAACAGTTGTCAGTTCCTATACTACACACAACACACACAAATAGATGTAGGTTCCTACACCACACACAAAAAGAAGAAGAGTAAATCCCTATAAAATTTGCAACCCAACACTTAGGAAAAACTCAACCTTTGATTTCAAAATCCGCCTTCTATTTCCTCTAGCTTCATTTAGAAGTTAAACAAATATCACTATTTTAAAGTTTGAGAACCATTTACAGTTAAATCCTATGCCTATTTATTCCGAAGTAAATGCTATTTTCTTCAATATTGCTTACTCCAAGTTACTCCCCTATGTTGCTTGTACAATACAGTTGTTTCTCGTCCCATCCCATACTTATAGATAATTTATAAATATCTATGTATACATGTCATAAGGAAGAGGGAGAAGGCGTGTTTTCTGCTGTTCTGGAGACTAGGACACAGAACAATGGCTTCAAACTACAGGAAAGGAGATTCCACTTGAACATTAGGAAGAACTTCCTGACTGTGAGAGCTGTTCAGCAGTGGAACTCTCTGCCTTGGAGTGTAGTGGGCTCTCCTTCTTTGGAGGCTTTTAAACAGAGGCTGGATAGCCATCTGTCGGGGGTGATGTGAATGTGATTTTCCTTCTTCTTGGCAGGGGTTTGGACTGGGTGGCTCACAACTTTATGATTTAAAATTCATTAAATTCTATAATTTAAAATTCATAATTACTTTGAAACACTTTACTAATTGAAGAGCCATTACAGTTCTTTGGAATTCTTCCCATTTTTTCTGCTTCTAACCCAGTTATACAAAGGCAAATTCTAACTTGTTTCTAGAGGAGCTACAGTGGTACAATGGGTTAAATCCTTGTACCACCACTTGAAGGTCAGCAGTTCAAATCCGCAAGATGGGATGAATTCCCATCTGTCAGCCCCAGCTTCCCATGCAGGCACATGAGAGAAGACTCCCACATGATGGTAACACATCAGGGCATCTCCTGGGCAACGTCAGGGCATCTCCTGGGCAATGTCTTTGCAGATGGCCAATTCTCTCACATCAGAAGTGACTTGCAGTATATTCTCAATTTGATTCTGACATGATTAAAAAAACTTGTTTCTAAGAAAATAAAATAAAATACTTCCATGTTATAGTGGCAGGAAACTAGTTCCCACATTTAAAACATATGGAAATCTTGGAATGCACCATGTGCTTCTTAAAAATGTTTTAAGAATATATTCTGAATATACCTATATCTGTCTATCTATCATCTATCTATATACATATATATATTCAGAAGGAAAACGTGTTATGCAAAACAGAAATATGGATACTTCAATACATTCAATATAATACAAAATTAAAATAAATATCACATTGCCTATAAACAATTTTAGAAAAAACAAATTAGAATACTTGTTTCTGAAACAACCCTTTTCTATAGATAGGTTATTTTGGCATTCTGAAATCCCAAAGAACTGATGTGTGCAAGTGAGTTTGGATACATAAACCCAACCCTAGATTATGGATATATATATATATATATATATATATATATATATATATTACAAATCACTCTCAGAACCTTGGGGAAAGTACAAAACTCTTCCCATATGAACTTTTCCTTAGTGAATATTAAGGTGGTAATTACATTCTCTGACTCGATGTTTGGGTGTATGACCATATACATAAATGAAACCTAATTAACATCTGTTTAAGGTTAACAAAGAAAATGACAGCCTTATTACACAGCATTCTACTCACCAGTTTCAGCATCCATGGGCTCCCGCGACATGTGGCAAAACATCCAAATAATCCGAAGACAATAATCGTGGTGCCCGTCCCAATGAGAACATAAGGGGCATTAGTGGAGTTTTCAGCAATAAGAGAGATGTATGTGCCTAAAGTCAGCTTCCCCCAGACACCAACAGCCAGAAGGATAACACCGGTTAT